TAAAAAATAATTTTAAAAATTATTTACAAAGTAAAAAAAATATAAAAATATACATTGTCAATCTTCAATGTCTTGCCCATGCTATGGTATTTTTTTAGTATTTTTTTGAATTTTTTTTACGGTCAAAAGAGCCGTAGAAAATCGAAAAGAAAAAAGTAGAGAGAGAGAGAGTAGAGAGAGATAGTACTGAAGGGCAAAATCGTCCAAAGAGGACGGTGACTAGTAATAAGGGGGGCGGTGAATAGTAATGCCCTACTAATAACATACAATCAATTGTTCAATAATAATATATCTCACGTGATACCACCATAGTTTATTATAGTGGATAGACACAGCCAAACTCTGGGCCCGATCCTGCCCGACAGGTCGCCGGGTTCAAAATAAGCGATCTTGAGGTACAAGCCGGGTACAAGACTCGACGGGCCGGTTTCGACCCGAAATTGGACCCACACCGGGATTCATCCTAAAAAGAACTTTAAAAAAAAAGCCCAGCCCGCTGATATGAACCTAAACCAGCCCGGGATAAATCTGGGCACGGGCCACGACCCGTGGTCAACGGGTTGGACTGGGCTGGGTTCGTGCCGATTCTGGGCCAGGTGACCGTGGCTATATCTAATAGTGGAGAATGAATCAACCATTAAAACTACCTAATCTTAGAGTCAACCATTAACCCCAACATATGTGCATGGCCTAAAAATGGGTCCTAAATTTTCCAGCGAAAGTGGTGGTTGGAAAATGGTTAACTGCCAATCAACGTACAGTTACGCTTGGTGGAGTTCAACATGCATGCGTGTGTCATAATGACAGCAGTAGAAAATGGTGCCACTGTTTGAAGTTTGAACCTGAGATAAAACAATGGTTTACTAAACTATAAAAACAACCTCGTGTTTACTTGAAGATGTATGGAAGATGCTACGGTCCCGTTACGGAAACATTTCGTCAAAGTTTTTAACCGTTAGATCAACTATCTCTGATGGTTACATGATGATCTAACGGTTACAAAGCCCGACGGAATAGTTCCGTAAGGGGACCTTAGCATTTCCCGAAGATGCATATCATATATTCTTAATGATAAATTTAATTAATCATGACAAGAATCACGTTCCGTTGTATTTAACAGCAAAAATTTAAGGCTAAGCGAAAAGAAACATGGAGAACCCATTTTTTAATGGGAAATAATGTTATGATTAAGACAATATAATTTTTACAAAAAATAAAATAAAAATAAAAATATATTTTTAGTTTATATACACAATATAAGTCCACTTCTACATAGAATTATTTCAAAGCACCAAATATTAGTACATAAGATTACGAAACACATAAAATTACAAAACACCAGAAGCTGACGTTTAATATCGAGAAACTATGCAAGCATTATGTCTCATTAGTAATTGATCAGTTTCTAATTCTCTAATTTACCATAATCAACTTTACTGCAGTTTTTTTTTTTTACCGCAACTTCCGTTTTACCCCACCAAATCGACGACAACTTTTCATTTATTCAGACCGTGTCTAGTCCGAATTTCCATTGAAATTTCTCATACGCACTGAAGAAGCCACCCAAAGTCAATTACTAATCATCATTTTAGGTTAAAAATAATGACTTCACGAGGTCACAAAGCAAGCCAAAACACACCAACAACAGAAATAATTACAAGTGGGACCCACAGTGCAACTTGGTTTTCACAAATCCTCATCATGTTTTTTGCTCCTATAAATTTCACACAAGAAGTGGTTTACTGATTACTCCCATTAATTAAAGCCTTCCACTTCTATTCCCCCAAGGCTTTCACTAATATTACTGTCTCATGGGGAACTGCTTGATCAATCAACAGAAGCCTATGAATGTAATGAAAACAAATGAAAACATGATTGCTTACAACCCCCAAATTATAGTTCACCCAATGCTGCCCACATTTTCGAGCCACGAAATTTCTAATAAATATGTGCAGCCAAATGGTTGGTCTATGGGGGCCCAACCGAAAGAGATTAATAAGAAAGTTGGGTTTTCAGAATATATTGGGGATGACGAGAGAAAAGCCGGTGGGGTCGTGAGGGTCAAGCTTGTGATCAGAAAGCAAGAGTTGCAGAAGATGCTAGTTGTTCGAGACATGATTTCCGAGGTTCAGATAGCATTGAACACTAACAATGATCGAAACATGTCTTATAAAGCATGGTTTCCAACACTTACGAGCATCCCTGAAGTAAACTAGTAGTCGAGTTCCTCTTTTCTTTTTTCTTTTTCTTTTTGGGCGAAAATGTAACAGGATTCAAGAAGGGAAAAACTAAAAGAAAAAGAAAAAAGAGAGGGACAGAGGCTAACCTTCTATATCCAATATGTCCAGACAATATGGCTAACAGGAGATTCGAGATATCAACTTTTCTTTTGCACAAGATGTCAGCTCGTACTTGTATATCAACTTATATTTATGCCCTAAAGCAGTCAAATAAAGATAAGTTCTAATAGCAATCCTATGAGAAGAATGAAGTAACAAAAAACAAAATGCAAATTCATGTAATTGACTGGGAAAAATAGATCCATATAGCTTACCCCACTTAGTGAGATTTAAACGAGCACGGATCAATATAGCTAACCCCACTTAGTGGGATTTTAAGGGCTTGTTGATTGATTGATTGATTGACAGGAAAGAATAGAATCTTGCAGCTAAATCTTTTTACAGGTTTGTCATCAACAAAACAAATGTCTATATTGTTTTCTTGGTTAGCCCAAAAGCCGCCGGCCATGTGGCTCCTGAACCGCATCTTATGCTGGTTCTCGTAAATAGATATACATGTACATGAAAGAAAGCAATAAAAGAAATTGATTAAATTTTAGTGAGAACCAAGTTAGTCAGACTGATAGAGCCTCTTGCTGAGAATGCCACGTGACAACTTTCTTGTACGACAAATTACCCCCAAAAATATCCAAAGCGCTGCCCACTGTGGCATCTACACGTCCAGCTCCTGCTACTTTGATTCTCTCTAAGTCGTCCATAACAGTGACTCCACCAGCATATGTCACCGGAATCTTTAGAAACGTAGAAGAAATAAAATAAAATAAAAACAACAGTTTGACTGAAAATGTCAAATGAAACAATAAGAAAATCTTCAAACTCATCTGCCAAAAGAATCGGTCAGATGTTCTTTTTCTTTTTTCAAAAAGAAAACATGACTAGTGGAATTAACGTAAGTTAAAGAGGAGTGCAGGGACTACTGTAGTTCAGTTAGAAAGGAAAAGCTTTCACGTAAGCTATGTAAGACAATATTAATTCAAGGATGATTTTTAAGGAAACACACCGGTGAATGCTTGCCAAGCAAGGCGACAAGCTCTTCATCAATTCCCAGCCTGCATCATTGAAAGTTGCAAATAAAATCAGATGCAAAGCATTGGTATTTGAATTATGCATAATAAGAACAGATCTTCACGAGTTTCGCAAGTAGAAAATGAGTAAAATTGTAGCAGATTTGTACAATATGCATTGCTTTATGTCAGACTATTTTTTATCAGAATGCGAAGTTCTGCAAGAGAACATTAGGAACCATCAAGCTACAAGACGTACTTTTTGCCTTCAACATCAACTCCGTGGACAAGAAATTCATCAGCATAACTGGCAAGAAGATCCAACACTTTCTGATCAAGATACACGTCGGTGAACTTCTGCCACCTGTCCGTGACAACAGCATACTTATCCCCCTGCATAAAGCATTTTTAAGTCAATGAAGGCAACACATATAATATTGAAAAAAGTGTAGCTAAAAGCATCTCTATTATGAGAGAGAAAGTTTCCAATATCAAGTTAAACAAGACGTAACTGTCCTGGATATCCACAAATATTTGTATAAAATAATTTCATGACACATGATTATAACAGGTTGCTACACACTAGCAAATTTAGAAGGCGATTTCAGATTATCTGTAGAGATAGCATTGAAGGCATTTTTTCAAGTAACATAGATTAATTAGGATGAGAAATACTTTTTTCCTGCAACTAAGATCCAACACGAGTCTCTTTTTTCCCACGGTATCGGCAAGTTCCTTTAGCCTTTCAAAATCTACTTGTCCATCACTGAATACGTACTGCCATTGCATTGAAGAAGTACACAGCAGATAAGCTTCCAAAGAGAAAACTTTACCCAGCAGATAAGCTTCCAAAGACAGAGAACTTTACCCAGAAAGCTTTACATATATAAATTATCAAACATGCAGAGACAAGAATATTCACAAACCATGACTAAATATTCCATGAAAAAGTCTATGGGGATTCTTAACAGTCCATATGCACACTCGTGTTCACCATGTTATATTTTCACAATTATTTGACACTGTTTGCTTGAGCACAAGGGTGCAACTTTCCATCAAGTGAGAAAGTCAACTTTATAAACATCATATTATATGTATATCATATGGAATATCATCAGAATGCCATACAAAAAACAATATTGCAGATGTTGCACATACAACAAGCCTCAAATTTTGAAATAACAAAGAGGTCACTGCAAGAGAATTGTGCGTATAGGCTCAGAAGGGAAGCACCAATCAGCGACTCTAAAACTTTGATTAGTTGGCCAACAGTTGTGATCACCTCAATAAAAGTCCATCATGGTATTTTGAAAACAATGGTTTTTTTAGTATCCCATTAAACATCAGAATTAAGATGTATGCACGTATATGGAGATTCAGAAGAGAAATTTACTTTGGAAGAGGTGTAAGGCAACAGGAACTGCATGCTAAAAGAAGACTATTACAGGAGAAAAAATATTTGAACGTACAGAGGTAACGATAACATGGCTTGCTCCTTCATCTATGAAACTCAAGGCATTACTTGAATTGATACCACCTCCAACTTGCAAACCACCTATATGTTTTCCATGTGGTTGTAAGTATCAGCAATAGAAAACTCTAACGAAATAACCATGAAAGATACATATAGGCAGACAAATTGCATGTTGTGAACAATAGTTTCGATGTAATCCATAATAGTTTCTCCACCACAATACTAAGGATGGGGTCATTAAATTTTTCAGAAGGGGCTTAGTAATAACAACCAATACACTGGAAGGATATTCCCAAAATATTGTATTGATGTTTGAAAAGAGAGAGTAAATCATCACACCCGGATAAGCATGTAAGGCTTCAATTGCTGCTGATTTACTCAACGGATCAGCTCCGAGCATGATTACATGGCCACCAATAAGACCATCATCTTTATACATTTTAGCATATTCTGCAGCTGATTTATCAGATTCATAGTTAGTTATAAGACTAGTATCTTCTCCTTTAGAATCTGTAAGAGTGGATCCGACAATCTGTTTCACTTTCCCCTGAAAATTTATTATAATGAATCATGGTATTAGTAATTCATGGCTGATTCACGGGGTGACACAGCAAGAAGTCAGAAAATCCAGTCAAGAGATAAATAATTTTAATGCAGATACAACACACAAGAAATATAGAATTAATATAAGAAAGTATATTGTTCACTGTTACATCTACTTATACTTCTCCACTTGGAAAACAATTTCTATGCCTTGTACTATCAATTTCTAAAGCCATCCAACAACAACAACAAAATATTTATCCAAGTGGATCGTCCATATGGAATAATGGAATACCAAAAACTCATATATATTGTAATGACTAATGAAGCTGATAACTCTAATATCACCTTTCAAAGTTTCGTCAGATGTAGAAATTTTACTCAAGGTGAATGGCAGTGGAATTAAGTGAGTAGTAAACAGCTCTTTCACATTCGTATCTACTATATGAAAAAGTGACATGATTATCATCCATTTTCAATGTGTTTAATTGTGTGAAGAATGCATGTTGCAAGTTAGGCCATCGGACAACCCAAACTGTAGCAGGCGTAACGGGGATTTTGGTCACTNAAAAAAAAAAAACACTAAGCGCACAAGATTCTGAATTAAACCTTGTGTATGTCAATGCAAGGGCGAAACCGAACCCGACATTGTACCGACAAACTCCTACTTCCTGAAAAACAGTTCAAACTTTGTGATTGCTGCAAATGTCTCATCTCCCATTTCTATTAACCCTCTCTGGAAATGACAATAACAGAAAACAAAGTCATACTTGTTACCAACAGAGACGTAACCTGCACCGATTTTGGCTTTTGAGGAGCACAAAATGCAGAAGAAGGTTCAGTCATGTCCGTCCAGATTGAACCCATTTTAATGATTTGGATGCTCATGACGACGAAGGCTCGAGATCAAACACTACATCAGCACGAAAAAGACCGAAACCACCAAAGTATCATAAGATGTGAACCGAAAAACTCACGACTTCGAATTGTCATGTAAAAAAGCTCAAGTCAAGCGTACGGCCAGTTAATTTCGTAGCGATTATAGGCGCATTAGGTTTGTTTTTATAGAAAATAACGCGATAAACTGTGAGTGGAGATGTACCTGGACTGTGGGAGGTATACTGGGGTTAGCCTGAGAGAAGTGTACGGTGGAATTGGTAGCCAGCGGCGGAGACTGGATGACCGGAGATGGAGATTGATGAAGGGGAGGTAACCGCCGGGCTGGTTTATCAGCTAGAATCGGAAAACAAATTGCAATATTGTCCCATTACTTTCCGTTCGTTCGTCCCAATTTTATAATATTGGTCAAAATAGAAAATTAATATTACAATTTTAGTCCAATACAAATTAACTAGTACAACACCCGTATATTATTACACGGGTGCTTGTTAAAAAATTATTCTTAAATTTTAAAATTAATGAGAAAACTATATTAAATTTAGTTTACTTTTTTACAAAAAAAAATATATGTGTTACTTATGACTTACATGTGTTATATTATATTATTTTTTATAACTTATATCATATAACTACTTGAAATATAAATATATTAGTTGATAAATAATTTTATTTTTATAATTAATATTAAAAATAATTTTATTATTGTTATAAAGATAAATATAATTTATTTTTTTTATAGATTCAATATGGATATTAAATCGAAGCTCATCAAAAGAAGATTAATTTGATATATTATATATGTAAAACTGATAAAAAATACAAAAGTTATTAACTTTTAAAATATATATACAATTCAATAGTTATAATAAGAAATGATATTAAAATACAATTAATACATGTAACATGACCATAAATAATCAACATATTTATGGTAATCCGAACCTAATTATTTTTGGTTTGGAATTAAATTAAAATTTACCCAAGCCTAATAAGGATTCCGAAGCACCAGAAACAGCCACGTAGACTCAACGCATTCTAGATTAATATATAGGGGGGATTGTGCTATTTTTATTTTTGTTTTTGTTGGGTACAAAGAGAACGTTCATTCACAAACTAAGAGAGGCACCTCTGAAGTCATGCTCGATCCACAGAACTACACAAGGAGGCGGAGTAGAGTGTGTGATATCCAAGGGCCGCCGAAGCCGCCAAAGCTGCTAAATAGTCCGCAACAAAATTAGTCTCACGAAAGATGTAAGAGATTCGCACCTGCCAATCTCAAATGAGGAGCTCTCGTGTTCCTAGGACTAAACCATAATGGACCCCTGCGGTATCCTCAGTATTCTTAGCAAATCCCATAACAATGGAGTTATCGACTTCAGCCTCTACATGTCAATACTTCAAATTCCATGCCAAAGTAAGGCCCTGAAATAATTACCATAACTCGACCCCCATAATAGAACATTCCCCAATATGCATCACGAAGCCACGTAGCCATGTGTCATGGGAGTCACGAAGTAACCCGCCCGTAGAGGCCATACCTGAGGAACTATTATGAGCACCATTTGAGTTCACCTTAATCCATGAGTCCCGCGGCAGTTCCCAACAGACAAGGCGCTGGACCTGCCCTATATTGCCAATCTTTCTTGCCCCTTCGGCAAAGTGCACTCACCATTCACGAAGGCTCTGATGTCCCTCACCTTCCCAAATGCATTCAATTCTCGATTCTGGAATATGTAAGTGCTATTTTGATCGATAACTTGTAAGCATTTTGCTATACGAAAAGGTTTGTACCTTAATAACATATTTTTTTTAACTTTATTTTAGCAATATATTAACCAACTAACCCGTTATATTAATGTAAATAATATATTGACATATATATTTATTTTTAATATAGAAAATATAATAATTTTATTTATTTTTTGTTCAAACTTTGTTATCATATATATTATTATTATTTACCACTAATAAAAGCAGTATTCCTTATATGTGTGTATATATATATATATATATATATATATA